TAGTCACTTAGTGGTTGGTGATATGCTTTTCAGTTCTGCAGATCTCTGGTCTAGTCACTGACTAGTTTGCCATGTGCAGTTCCTGACATGTTACTCGATGGACAGGTTGCAGGGGAAACTGCCCTCTTGCAGACTCAAGGATGAAAGAAAATATCCTTCTGGGTCTCTATCAGGCCAGGCATAGCTTTAGGTACAACAGAGAGATATTTAAAATTGGGGACGGAGAGTTCAACATCTAGGAGCTTCCAGTGATCCCAATACAGGAGGCCTGTGCAGGTCCCTGAAGCTGTTGGTGGAGGTGCAGATCACTGTAGACTCCATTATTTAGAAAGAAATGGGACATTTTTTTTGTCACTTAACAAAATTTTCAAGTGTGATAAAATTATAGTCAGTTTTGTAGTTTCCTATGCAATAAATCACTTGTAAAAGTTCCTTTCTCATCTTAATATTGCCTCTAATTTCTTTTGTCTTCAAAATGTCACTTTAAGTTGAGAAAAGTAGAATTTAAGGTTAAAAAAAAACAAAACAAACCCTGTTCTTGCCGGGCACTGGTGACTCATGCCTATAATCCTAGGTACTCAGAAGGCAGAAATCTGGAGGATCATGGTTCCAGGCCGTCCCAAGCAAAAATTGAGACCCTATCTTGAAAATATCCAACATACACACACACACACACACACACACACACACACACACACACACACACAAACGCATGCACTCAGAGGCTGGTTCAAATGGTAGAGCACCTGCCTAGCAAATGTAAGGCTCTAACTTCAAACCCCAGTACTGCCAAAACCAACCAACTAACCAACCAACCAAGCAAACAGTAACTCTGCTCTTGTGCTGGCAGTGTAGCCTGGTGGTAGACTACTTGTCTAGAGTGCATGAGGCCCTGGGTTTGGTCCTCTACTGCAAATGAAGCAAAACCCTGCTCTTAAAAGTAATTTGATTTCCTGTACTTCAGGTTTAATATTAAAAGGGTCATGTACATTGAAAACTAATTTGGGGATTAAAATACACCAAAATTGGAGAGTTTTACTGTATTTTTTCATTTCATATCCAGTCTCTGCTTTTCAATATAATTTTTGCACAGACTTTTAAAGGAACCTGTTATATTTGAAAGTTGGCAATTGCCTCTGTTAGCACAGCTCAGTTCCAAGAGGGGAAGGTCTTTTGCCCAGTGTCTGTGGCCTCACCTGTCTTTCTCTGCCTGTTGGAGAGCAGTTTAGTGGAGAGTGAGCATCAAACTCACCACCAACCATCCATACATCAAATTCCAAACAGGCGAACAGGCTGAAGGAAGGAAACGGAGGGAAACAGATCACAGCCAGTTCACCAGCAAGTTGCTAACTGGCACTGGGTGTTGACTACGTCCTTGATTTAGGAGTTCATATTATTCTTTTGGTGGTTTTTATGTAGGAGAAGTTGAGGACAGAGTTTTTGCCAGTTATAAGTGATTATCTCATTTTAACTATCATTTCACTTCTTTCCAATGTGAATAAGGTAATATTATCATGTATATTTTCTTTTCTATTTTTTGGCAGTACTGGAATTTGAACTTGGGGCCTTGCCCTTGCCAGGGAGGCGCTCTACCATTTCTGCCATGTTGACAGCCCTCTTGTGAATGTTCTGATTTCTCTAATACATGCATGCTTAATATTGGACCTTATGCTATTTATCTCTGGGGTTAAATTGAAGATTTCAGTAGAACTAGTAATTTGGGGGGTGTTAATTTAGTGCTTTCATGTATCTTGAGAAGTAGGAGGACATGCCTCGCTATTCTAAACGCATCTGTGAATCCTAACATCACAAAAGCTTTGGCAAAATTTTGATGAATGTGTTCTGTAAAAATCCTGTGTGTTCTGGGATGGATACAAAAACCGCCACAAAATTAGATCTGTTCTTTGGTTATGACCAGTTCTGACTCCACCCCTAACTCTACCCTAGGATTTGCTCCTTCTTCCTTTGCTCTCAGTGCAGCTGTCACTTGATGGGTGACAGGAGGCTGGCCATGAGAGATAAAGGTGGAGAGACGAGAAGGGGAGTCACATATATAAATCATCTTTTTTAAATCATCGGTTTTTTTGTTTTTGTTTTTGGTTTTTGGTGTGACTGGGGTTTGAACTCAGGGCTTTGCACTTGCAAAGTAGGTATTCTACCACTTGAGCCACATCTCCAGTCCATTTTGCTCTGGTTGTTTTGGAGATGGAATCTTGTGAACTGTTTGCCCAGGCTGACCTCAAGCCATTATCCTCCTGGTCTTTGCCTCCCAGGTAGCTAAGATTACAGGTGTGAGCTATTGGCTTTGGAATCTTGACTGTTCCCCCTAAATCCATGTGTTGAAGACTTGACCCCCAGGGTGGCACTAGTGGAAGATGGTAAAACCTTGAAGAGGCGGTGCTTGTGAGAGGTTCTAAGGTGGCTGGGATGTGCCCTTAAGGGGATTGTGGACCCCGGACCCCTTCGCTCTCTGGCTTGGGAGATGAATGGGTTTGTTCCACTACACGTTCCTGCCACGATGCATTGCCTCACTTCAGGCCCAACTGATGATAGATCAGACCTTTCAAAACTGTGAGCCAAAATAAACCTTTTCTCTTATAACATTATATCTGAAATTTCATTATGGTGACAAAGGCTAACACGCACAACTGATTTCACCAACCGTAGCAGGAAACAAGTGGGACAACACAATGTTTTCTTCTCCCCACCCTAGAATCCTAGCTCTAGGCTTTGACTCTTTTAGGATGACATATAATATATTATGATATGATATGGTATGATATAAAATAAAATTGTCATACTTTTTTTTTGGCAGTACTGGGGTTTGAACTCAGGGCTTCGTGCTTGCTAGGCAGGCAGTCTACCACTTGGGCCACTCCTCCAGCCCATGTTTGTCATTTTTATTTGGAGCTAAGAATCTAAGGTAGCAAGTAAGAACAAGACAGAATCATAACAGGCCACTAACAATCTCTGGATTTACCACTAGGTTACCTAGTTCCCTTAGGACTTTGCCCCCAAAGGTGTTTTATATAGTCAGTGTCTTTGCTGCCTAACTTGGTATCCACTTACCACATTTTGAGCGTATGAAGTGTAGCTAGTCTAACTTGAAACATGCTCTAAATGTAATTATATACAGATCAAAATGGTTTAAAAGTGAATAGTTTAAAATATTGAAATATTTTGTGAGTTTGAATAAATGTATTATTAAAATAATTTCATCTCCCTCCCTCCATCCTGCAGGCTAGGCAGTCACTCCACCACTGAGCCATACCTAGCCCCACCTGTTTCTGGTCTTTATTTCTTGCTTGTGGTGCTGGGGCTCTAACCCAAGGCCTCACGTCACCTGTTTCTTTTTTTGTTTTGTCATGGCTACTAGAAAACTTTAAACTGATGGTTTGTATTATATATCCGTTGGACTGTGCTGTAATAAACCTTGTTTCAGCCAGGAGTGGTGGTGCTTGCCTTAATCCCAGCATGTGAGGCAGAGGTGGGAGGATCGCCGGAGCTCAGCAGTTTAAGACCAGCCTGAGCAACAACATGACCCCGTCTCGAAAAAGAAGCAAGCAAGCAAGCAAGCAAACAAAAATAAACCTTGTTTAAGTTGGCAAGGGATATTTGGATGTCTAAATTTTATTATATATAATCAACAAATTTCCAAATTTGTCGTCAATTAACTTTCAAGTTCCTATGCAGAGCTAAATCAGAATAACGAGAAGAAACTCCCAACATTCTGTACCAGATTTCCATCTGCGGGACACATCAGTTTGCTTTGGATTTAAGAAAGAGCATGGTTCGGGCACATTGGACTTGCCCATGAGAACAGTGCTTATGACAACTTGAAGAACAGCTGAGGATGCTCCTGTCATCTTCGTTTCTAATCTAAGAAGTGAAAGAAAGAGAAGAGGAGTGCTGGGAAGTAGAAGAGAGGAGAGGGAAAGAAAGTACTTATTTTCTGGGAAATCACTCTCTTTTCAAACCTTGCTAAGACAGTGTTAGTTTGGATTGTGCTAATGTAAGCTCTGCTGTAAACTTTCTTTCAGAAAGACGCTGACTCGCTATTCCAAAAACAGAATGTGTTTGGTTTTCGGCTTCGGCTTGGCAGGTCTGCATGGTGTCTGGTTGCAGTGGTAGAAGGCATGGAAGGGCAGAAATCCTTCAGGTGGAGGCCTCAAGTGGCACTGAAGATATGTTGAAGATTGCCCCAAAAAGTTTCTGCTGGACTGTTGTTCAATTTTGTTGCTGTTGTTGTTGTTACTATTTTGCTTTTTGAGGCAGGGTCTCACTGTGTAGCCCAGGCTATCCTTGAACTCATGATCCTCTTGTCTCAGCCTCCTGTGTGCTAGGATTACATGCCTTCCCCACCATATCCATCCTGTTGGTCGATGTGCTTTTTATCTGCAAACAACTCTAAGAAAGAGAGAGAGAGAAAAAAGGAAGCTTGTTTCTACTAGCTTATTTCTTCTGTTTATGAAGATAGATGTAGATATCTTCTATGCCTGAGTTTTAGGACAAAATCTGCCCCTAATTAAATATATGTCTTTAGACTTCAGTCTCAAGTGTGAAGTGGAAATGGTGCTATCTCATGGGGAGGTTCTGAGGACTAGGTGTGATAGTCAGTGTAAGGAGCTTAGCATATTTCTGAGCCTGTGGTGAGACAGAACAGCCTGGCAGAGAGTGTGTAGTAGAGCAAAGCTACTCACCTCAAAATGGCCAGGAAGCAGAACGAGAGAGGAAGGCATCAGGAACAAGCTATACCCTTCCACAGCACTCCCTCCCCCAATGGCTACTCCCTCCAGCTATGTCCACCTCTTACAGTTTCCACTACCTCCTAATAATGCTGGCAGTTAGCAAGCTAGCTTTTAGCACATGGCTTTTGGGGGACAGTGCAGAGCCAAACTATAATAAGACCACAAGTCATGATCCTATTTTGGGGGAAAAATGAGAGCTAGGTCACTAAAGACCAAACTTTCAACTTATGGTTGTGATTTGTTATATTGCAGGGATAAAATATCAGACACACAAAAAGACTGGAAATTCTTTGAGGTGAGTCACTTAAGTTTGGGGACTTTTCTTTTTGATATGAAGCATGATGTACAGCAGTAAGCAATAGCCACTTGTTAGGCACCTACTTTAGGCAAATACCCTTTCTACGAAAGAAACTAACAAACCACATGCTACACCTTGGAATGTCTGATTTTCCTCCCTCGAAGGTGAGGACATGTACCATGCTACATAGACAGGTGGGGCTGTTCACATTGTTTCTGGGAATTGTGACTCTTCTCTGGTTTTTGTTGTAGTCCTTTTATACTTTCTGTACATACGTGGCTTGGATCGTCTTCCGACGCCAACACTTGACAGAGATTGAGGAAGAAGTAGGAAGGCTCTTCCGCACCAATATGTTCAACATTTCTAGAAGGAAGCACGAAGATGAAGAATCAGGAGGAGAGAAGAAACGCATGACATTGGTACAATTCAGGTACAACCTTTCTTTTCTTCCTTCCTTCCCCTCCTTACTAAGTAGTCCAGGCTGGACTCCAACTTGCAATCCTCCTGCCTTAGCCTTCCAGGTGGCTGGGATTACAGTCCTGTGCCACGGAGACTGCCTCTGATATGACCTTTCCACTTTTCTAAGATCAAGGATATTTATAGAAAACAGGGTGATATGACCTAAATGTCACTTTTTCTTCTTCCACAGGAAAATGATGGCAAAACGTCCAGCAATTAAAAAAGCAATTAATATGCGCTCTCCAGTCATGTCTACTCTGCTGCCATCTCTCAGAGAAAAAGCCCAGCATATCATTGAGAAAAAGTATCAGGCAGGCACTAAACTCCCAGTCCACATGCAAAAGTACTCAGCCAGTCCCGACTCTGTGCCCATGCCAATGTAAGTGGCCCAAGAAGAGAGACAGGAGAGGCCTGGATACTGCTGCCTAGGTCAGCCCTGGAGGGTAGGACCTCAGGCATTCTTCCTTTGCCAGAAAGACAGAAGTGCCTGTTCCTTCACCCCCAACCCCACCCCCTGCTTCCTTCCTGTCTAGAGCATCTCTAATTATCCTCATCTAGACATGAAAAAAATGGCTAGAAAGCTATTCTAGGCTCCACATAGTTCTAGCTTGGAGGAGTGAGTAATGGCCTCTACGGCTGACGGTTTTCTTTTTTTTTTTTCTTGGGGTGCAGAGGGTTGAGACAGGGTCTTGCCATATAGCTCAGGCTGGCCTTGAACACACAATCCTCCTGCCTCAGCCTCCTGAGTGCTGAGATTAAAGATGTGTGCTTCCATGCCCGATCAAGGCTGAGGATTTCTAGTATAAGAATCATATTAGGGAAATGTGGGAAGGACTAGTACAAAAATCTTGCTATGGATTGAGTTTTGACCCATATGTAAGACCACAGTGGTAGTTTGTGGTATAGCTTTATAAAAAAAGGAGTATGTGTATAGTGTGTACACATAGTGTGTGTGTTTATCAGTCTTAGCTTTAGTGTATACACACACACACACACACACACACACACAAAGGCAACTACAACACAGCTGTGCATTTCAGGCTTTGGCCTTATGACCAAATTCTTTTTACAGAGTTGGCATCTTGGGGGAGCCACGATATCTGTTCAACCCTCATACTCTTCTCCCCCTTGAACCAGAAGAAAATGTGAAGCCATCTAGAAGAAATACTTCCTTAATAGAGAGAAATAACACGAGGGTACAGGATGTCCTGGACTTCGCAATGAGAACCATGCTTTCTCAAAACAGTCGACCCTAAATACTCTAGCACACTCCGTCTTTGTAATCAACTCCCTGTATTTGAAGTAAACTACTTTGATCTAATTACTCTATATAGGACTACCATTTATTATTACTATTAAAATACCTTCTGAAATTTTTCAAGTTATTTTTTTGTCCAAGTTATTTTGTTCAACAAAGTTCAACAATAGGCTATTAAAGAATTCTAGGAAGCTCTCAGAAAGCCCATTTTCCTATTTTTTCCCTTGACTTTTATGTGTCTATGTAGAGTAATATATTAGACCATCTAGCCAGTATTCCAGTGATTAGTGGAGAGGTATTCTGTTTACTCATGTCTAATTTTATCTCTGCCTTATGAGAGAGCATCTTTGGGACATGTGAACAAAATTTCATAAACAAAAAGGCACATTAAAATATTTTTTGTGGATACATGATTATTGGCATTGGGATATAAAGTACAACTGATTAGTTTAAAAGCCTTTAGCATATATATTTCATTCTTTCTTTCATGTATTCACTTAACGAGAGAGATGTGTTAAGTCTGTCTATCCAGAGGCTTGTGCTAGGTTGCATAGAAAAAAAGCTGATCAAGATAGACATAGCCTCCGGATCTGCATGGTAGAGAAGCAGAATAAAATGTGTACGTGATCCCAATACAATAATGAACATGTTAGAGGCTGTACAAGAGGTAAACACAAAATGCTTTGCGTAGATAGAGCCATGGAGCAGTCCTGGAAGTCCAGGAGAGTTCTGAAGGGGAACGTGCAGCACAGAGATGAGAAAGTGGCCTGCAACTGAGGGGCTCCGAAGAGCGTGGCGTATGTAGTGGGGAGCCACAGGAGGACTGGCAGGAAGGCCAGGTGAGCTCTGGATGCCCAGACAGGGAGTGAATGAATATTATTTGGTAAGCAGTGAAGGCTAGGAATTGCTTAGAGAACCAGCTTACTACACAGAATACAGAGCTGTTGATTCTAAAATAATATTTTGAAAGTTGCATAATAGTAATCCTGAACCCTAACACCAACCAATGGAGTTTGGTCACCTTCAACAACTGGACCGAACATGCCTTTCTGTGGTCAGTGACACACACTTTGAAATCGTCCTTTTGGCATTCAGCATCATGGGAAACTGAATGCCTGTCCCTGATTTTATATCCAGCACAGAGGAGCACCAGTTTCAGCCCTTAGATGACGTAGAGTGGCTTCTGCTGGATGCCCCATCTTCACTCACCCTTTGCCATCCTGCTCAAGTCCTGTTAGCATGCCTGTGAAAATTGAAAAGGCTTTCTCCAAATCCTGGGCTCTCAGCTAACCTTTGCTGGACTTTTAATTTATGTAGAGAGAAGTGGTTCTAATGCTCTATGTCATAACAAATTTTTATCTGGAATATGTTGGCTCAGCTTTGTGCTTTTGAGAATGAGTTGGATAATAAATTTGATAACCTCTGAGATTTATAAGCAGCCATTGATTAATAACTGCTCAGTGCTCAGTAATTTGCTAGGTTTATGAGGAAGTACAAGGTGGAGCTGGATTAGGAAGTCACCACAAAGCCCAGGAACAGAATGGAAGGGCATGCCTGTAATGTGAGGTATAGAGTAGAGACCAAGGGCTTTGCAGTGGACCAACTCATAATGACCTGTGCAGAAAGAATGAGGACCCCAGACCGAAGGATCTCCGCTGGTCACTCCTTCCTCCTCCTGTACTCTTGCCAAGGAGCACACTGCTCATCTCTTTTCCTTGCTTCTTTTCTGCCTCTTTTCCTTGCCTCTTTCCACCCAACAAGTCTCAAAATGATAGGTGGCGATTTCCCTTTCAAACTATACCTCAGGGCAACCCAAGTAATGGACATGGGGAAAACACTTTTATAGAACCGTTCTAGGTAATAACTTCAAAAGGAATGATAGAACTAGGATATTATTGTGCAAAGCCTTAATGGAATAATAGATTGAGGTAATGATTAACAGTGTCAGTTTACATCATGTGAGGTACCAAAATAAATAAATAAATAATAAATAAATAAAACAAAAATCCTGCATAAGGGACAGCCTCCAATATCCAGTCTAGGAAACCCAGGGGAGGAGAAACCTGCAGACATGCAGTCAGAAAATTAAAAATGGGAAGAAGTCTATGAAAAAAAAAATGCCTAGTTTCTTCAACCAATATCAAGGGGAACAAAGAAGGTAGGGGAATCTTTAGGTAAAAAAAGAAACTAAAAGGAATGTCAGAGTCCGGCGTGGTGGCACACACCTGTGATTCCAGCACTCCGGAGAGACTGAAGCAGGAGGATCACAAGTTTAAGGCCAGCTTGGGCTACCTAATGAGTTCCAGGTCAGCCTGGGCTATATAACTAGACTCTGTCTCAAAAATAAACAGCCAGGTAACAGTAGTTCATACCTGTAATCCTAGCTACTTGGGAGGTTGAGATCAGGAGGATGGAGATTCAAGGCCAGCCTGGGCAAATAGTTCATAAGACCCCATCTCCAAAATAACCAGAGCAAAATGGACTGGAGGTGTGGCTCAAGCAGTAGGGCACCTGCTTTACAAGCATGAAGCCCTTGGTTCAAATTCCAGTCCCACCAAAAAAACCCACAAGGACATATCAGTCAAACACAATGTGTGGGACCTTGTTTGGATAGTATTTAAATAAGCTAATTATTTTACTATCTATGATATAATAAAATTAGTACTATGGGAATAATTGATGTTAAGGAATTATTGGTAAATCTGTCACATGTAATAATTTTATTGGGCTTTTCTAAGCCTTCCCTCCTTTTCTTAGAGGCACAAACTTAACTATTTCCAGTTGGAGGAGGGAGACAGAGAGTAGAAAGGAGGATGAGAAAAGATGGCAGCTTAATTTACCAGGCTAGGACTGACTGGGATTGTCCTCTCTTCCCCAATGCTTTTACTTTGCAGTAAGCACAGATCAAATCAGACACGAGAAAGTTAAAAATCCGAACAATGCCTGTAATCCCAGCTATGCAGAAGCCAGCCTGGGCAAAAAGTTAGCAAGACCCTATCTCAAAAACAAGCTGTGGCTGGGTATGTGGTTCAAGTGGTGAAGTGCCTGCCTAGCAAACTTGAGGCCCTGAGTTCAAATCCCAATACTGCCCCCCCAAAAAATGTACCCTTAGAGAACAAAATGCAGCAAATTCCCTATACACTCAACAGGCTGGAATCAACTTGGTACTGCCAGCAACAGGGCACAGGGCCTCCATGAGTTTGAGTTTGTAGACTACCCACCTCAGGGAAGTGTGTCATTTTTCATGGCTTCGGTGAGTCACTTACTATTTAAATGTGCGAGTTCCCACTTGGAAGTGATTATCTTTTCCCCTCATTCACCCCTTCCTTGTCACACATTCCTTAGTGCACACACTGATGCAGTGTGTAATCACTGCATGCAGACCTGAAAGGCACAAATTGAGCATTTGCTCAAGGGCTCAGGAGTCTTCTGTCACTGCATACAAAGAACCAAGGGAGGAGGGGCCTAATGCCACCGCAGGACTCACGTGACACCATGTTCTCATGAAAGAACTGCTGTGTGGCTTCTTAGAACTAGATACCGCCCCCCATTACTTCTCACAGCAAACCAGGAAGAGAGGTACTTATGGATGCTGACTTTGCACATTGGGACTTGAGGCACACATGTGTTGTCAGTCTTTGTGTGTGTGTGGTACTGGGGTTTAAACTCAGACCTTGCACATGCTAGGCAGGCTTTCTACCACTTAAGCCACACCCCAACCCTGCTATGCAGAAGCCCTGAGATGCAGGAGAGGGACATGATGATTGTGCTTTGTGGGTGTAGAATGTTGGGATTTTACACAAATTGGGGCGGGAAACAGATGAAGGGGTTTAGGCAAAAGAGTGACATGATCCAATTTATGTTTTCCAATATTCCTCTGGCTACTGTATGGAAAGGGACTAGGGTGAGGAGTGGGAAGGGAGAATGGAGGCTGGGAGCTCATTTAGAGGCTACAGAGGTATCCAGGGGAAGAAGATGGTGACGGGTTTTGATAGGGTAATGTCAATAAGATCTGCTGATGGATTGAATGCTGGGGATGAGAAGAGAGAAAGCCAGGACAATTCCATTCTTTTGGCTTGAATAATGGGTGTTCTGTGATTCCACATTGGGGAGTGGATGAAGAGCAGGCTGAAGGAGCAAATCTGGAGTTCTGTTTTGGTCTGATTAAGTGGGGATGGCAATTTTCTATGTGGAGATGAGCCAGCCTGCTGGCCAAGTGGCTTAAGTGGCAGAGTGCCTGCTTAGCAAGCGTGAGGCCCTGCGTTCAAACCCCAGTACTACCAAAAGAAAACAAAAACCCAGATGAGTCATCCTTTGTACAGATCTGGAGTTCAGGGAGAGATCAGAGCTGAAAATGCAGATGACAGCAACTGCCCACTGGATTGGACCCGGTTAGCTGAGGAGAGAATGGAGGTAGAGAAGACAAAGCACCCGGCTGTGGGCTCTCAACACGGTGGAAGGGGCAGAGGAAGAGAAAAGAAAATGAGGTAAATCCCACACGTGCGCCATCACCGCAAATCAATTTCAGGACTGATTTTGCCAGTGACAAGCGAGATGAGAGGAAAAGCAAGAGTGAGGAGTCACAGAAGAAAAAAGGGTGTCACGGAGGAAGGGCGGCTGAGTAGAAACTAGTGGAGCCCTCTTGATACAGGTTGAGTAGAGAAAGGCAGGTGAGAGGGTGGAAGCCAAGACTTTGACCTTGAAGGGAAGAAGAGAAACGACGCAGCCGCTAGGGGCGCTGTGGGGCCGGGGTGGGATTCTTGTTGCATTGTTTTGGATTTTCAGACAGGAAATACCAGATCAGAACGCGTTTGAATGTTGATATACATGGTCCATTTCAGCAGAAAACTGATGATGCACCTTTGCGGGGTGAGACTCCGAGGAGGCAAGAGGGTAGAGATGGGAAGCACAGGTTGGGGGTGGCCCTGACTGGGAAAGCACAAGTGCATCCCCGGTGGTAAACTTTCAGACCCACGTGGGAAAGACAGCTGGGCCATGACGACTTTCTGATTTCCCTGAGTCTACTCGATCTGGGTGATCATCTCCTCCACTTATGTAGACCAGCACTGAAGT